ACAGGGAGATGCAGTGAGCACTGGCCCGCACATTCCCACAGGCTTCAGAGAGCATCGACAGCCTTTGGTGAGGACTTGACTTGGGTTGCTCCAACAGGGCTCAGGCGTCTTGTTTCCATGCAGTTTTCTCTACGGAAATACCAGTTGAGTTCCCTATGGCTTCCTTGCTTACTGCATGCTGGTCAGAGAAAACCCTTCCCAGCTAATGCATCAGTAGGAACATCAGAAATGACGTTTGCATGTAAGCAAGGAAGGTCAGATCAAATCCTTGTGAGCAGGAGGGCAGTGACACCCCAGGAGTTTGCAGAGGCCACCTTGTCACCCAGCAGTACCAAGGCATGAGCCAGTGTCCCTGGGACACACAGGTCCTGGCGCGCAGCATGGCGCAGTCGGTGCTCAGGTCAGCTCTGATGCTCTTGGCTTTTCTGGCTGCACTGGATTGCTATCCCCTGCCCCAGAAAATAAGACTTCGTTGGACCTGGGAACCTTGCAGTTGCCCAGCTCTCCAGGACCGACCAGGCCTGCTTGCACGGGGATTAAAACGCAAGATGCCCACGAAGCGCCAAGCCTGGAGCGCCCGAAAGGCTGGGAACCGCTGCCCCAAATGAAAGCAAGGCTTTCCTCTTATCGCTCACTTCCAAATCCAACCAACCAATTACACATTAATTAAACTTTGTTTGAACATAATAGAAGCTTTGGCTCCAGTAACTGCTCCATGGTTAAGGGGATTGGATAGTAATAGAATAAATAAATAAACAAGAGATGCTTATTCTAACAGTTCATTTTAAAACAATTTGTGAATATCATGTAGAGATAAAATGTGCCTAGCATAAACTTAGCTAAGCAATGACTGCTTCATTATCAGAACAAATAATTCACTCGCACATCATCTTTGAAGCTTGGGAGGGCTACAGAATTGCGCTGCTTGTTTATTTTCCTGGCTTTTACTGGTTTTGCTACATTTCATCTGCGCAGAGCCGCGGGGAAGGGTTTAGCTGGGTCTGTGGCAGTGTGGTGCCAAGCCCTGGTGATGCCAACCCGCGGTCTCCAGAGCCCGGCTCAGCCCCCCTGCCCTCCCCAGGGCATCCCCCTGCGCCTCAGCCCCCAGCGACCAGGTGCCCGACCGTGGTATTTTAACGCCGTATCAGATGTCCCGCTCGCGCAGGGGTGAGGCACTGTTGCCTTTCTCCAATGATCGCTTTCTCCGAGGGCAGCTTTCTCATGTGAATGTAAGAAGTCATTTAATTTTTCCCCGCCGAAGGGCCGTGAGAGCTGCCGCCGCCGCACAGCAGCACCGTGCCCCTGCCAGTGCGGGGAGGGAGGGAGAAACGCGCCTG